GTCTGATCCTACTGGAAAGACTCAAAGAGGTTTAAACGCCAAGTTACTTCTTTTGAAGAAATCCAATATTATCAGCAAGGCTACATATGAAAAGTTATACAGCAGTGATGGACTATCTCCGCGTTTCTATGGTTTACCGAAAATCCATAAACCGGAAATTCCATTGAGACCTATTGTGTCCTTTGTGAATTCTCCTAAAACTCTTAGATCAAGTGTTGGTATCATTTGATGTCGTTTCCTTGTTTACAAATATCCCAGTTGATCTTGCCATCAAGGTTGCGGCAAAAAGACTAAGACAGGATGCCACTTTGTTACAAAGAACATCCTTGCCTGTAGAAGATATTATTGATCTTCTGTCTTTTTGTCTCAACGCCACATACTTTGTGTTTGAGGGCTGTTATTATCAACAGGTTTTTGGAACAGCGATGGGGTCACCAGTTTCGGCAGTAATTGCTAATTTAGTAATGGAAGATGTCGAACAAAGAGCTTTAGCCTCTGTTCCGGTGTCCCTATCGTTTTGGAAACGTTTCGTCGATGATGTCATCTCTGCGGTTTCTACAAATGAGATCGATATTCTGCTGCAACATTTAAATTCTATTGAGCCGTCCATCCAATTCACGGTAGAACGTGAAATAAATGGACATTTAGCTTTTTTAGATTTGAATGTACACAGAACTGTCGAAGGGAAGTTAGAGACTGATGTTTATCGCAAACCCACACACACAGACAAATACTTGTCATACGACTCTCATCACCCAGTAAGCCATAAAAGATCCGTAGCAAAAACTTTGCTTCAAAGAGCTGAATCGTTGCCGTCAAACAGTGATTCTCAAGCTAATGAACGTGAATATGTTCTAAATGTTTTAGGGGAAAACAATTACCCAAAGCGTTTTCTTAATGATTGCCTGAGACCACCTGTTTGTAGGAACCAAAATAACTCCGAGGGTGATACCTCTGTTAAGGGTTTTGCAATAGTTCCATACATTCAAGGTGTCACAGAACCAATCAAGAGAATCTTAAGTAATTGTAATATTAAGGTTGCCTTAAAACCCTATTTGACCTTAGGCCATATTTTCGCAAAGCCAAAAGATCCTGTTGAAAAAAATCAGAAGACTCATGCTATATATTCTATACCATGCGGTGACTGCGATAAAGAGTATTTGGGTCAGTCTAAACGCCAGTTTGGTACACGGCTAAAAGAACATCAAAAGGCTGTTTCAACTTTAGACAAGGGAAAATCAGCTTTAGCCGAACATGTATGTTACACCAAACACGAGATTGCGTGGGAAAACTCTAAAGTAATTACCACAAACAATCGCTATGGTCAAAGACTTTGCCTAGAAGCGTGGCATATAAATATGAGTTATCATGCTTTGAATAGGGATGACGGCGCCTATTTGCCAGAAGAATATATGCATCTTCTTGGCAGGTGACGTCATCCCTTGGGTATTTAAGAAGCCACGATCGCAGTTTTAGATCACCCCTGATGAAGACACTAGACTGGAGTGTCGAAACGTTGGGTCTTGATTACAATTCGACTGGGCTTTGTAATCATTTATTTAAACCAGAGTAGCGAGCGAAACATGATTGATATACCTGGTTGCAGTGAACGAACAAACTTTACATAGTAATTTAATAGGCAAAATTTAAAAATTCTCAAATTTTTGGCTATAAAGCAAAAATCAGAAGTGGTAAAACACACAGTCTTATTCACCAAGGCTTGAACTATAAGAAAATGCCTGTTACCAGCTTCTAACATAAAGTTGCCA